GAACTAAGGGATTATTTCAGAATCTCACTGCACTAGATGATAATCTTTCACTTCAAGGTCTTGCTTCTGAATGTATAAAAGGGGGAGAAAAAAGGTGTGGTTTACTCTGCCAGCAATTAGTCGAGAAACCTCTTGCCCTGTGGAAGACAGCCAATAAATATGAGATAATGCCCTTTGATCCTGGCATTTGTCATCCTGACAAATGAGGCATGAATGAAAATAGGAGTAAGTCAGTGCCCTCTCAGTTATCTGCATTTGGAATCAACATTTAGACACCATTTGCTGGTTTCATGAGCTCTGGCTGCAGCAATGAGGTCATTTTAAAAATCTATTTCACAAACTTAATAAAAATCTATTTATATTGTAGTTTTAAAAATATATTTATATATGTGTTTTACCCTGCAATTTTATGTTTGCCTGAAGATACCTTTTAGTCAACATTTTTCTCTCGGAATGCAATGAGTTGTGCAGATTATTTACCCAATATTAATAATAACAACAACCTTTATTTATAAAGAATCTGCATATTAATAAAATGCTCCAAGGCAGTTCAGAGGACATTTTAAAGCAAGGTTTGACACCAGGCTGTATAAAGTAGCATTAAAAATGGAAATGGAAATTGCTGGAAGAACTCAACTAGTCTAGCAGCAACTGTGGGAAGAAAACAGAGTTAACGTTTCAAGCCCAGAGATTCTTCAATGTATTTGTATTTGTAGTTTTTATCAAACTGAGTGGAGAAGAACCAAGATAAGAACTCAGGCTGACTTTTTGTGACTTAAGACCAGTTTTGATGATATTTGCATTGCATTGAGTTAAATCAAGCAGCATAATTCAGTTTAAGTACACAGCCTGGAAATTTCTTGAACTAACTCACTTAGTGCCACATGATGTGACTGATTATTTTATCGATCCATATGGGCATCTAGAATTAAATTAATGTTATTTTCTTTTTCTTTGTTGTTACAAAATAACGGTCTTGATCCAAGTCCCACTGTGGAGGTTTATAATCTTGGCTAATGCTCTAGTGCATTACTGAGTGGTGCACAGTTAGAGGTGGCACTTCCCAGTTGAAATGTTAACCAAGGTCCTTCCGCTTTCTTATGTGGAATTAAAAGATTGCATTGAACAATTTTGAAGGAAAGTAGGTGATATCCCCGTCACCTAGACAATACTTTATGCACCAGGCAACATTCTGAAAACATATTATTTGGCCATTATCACATTTCTGTGAGAGCTTGCTGTGTGCAAAGTGGATGGTGTGTTTCCAACATTTAAACAGTGATTACACTTCAAAATGACTTCATTGTCTACAAAGCACTTGGGGAGATCCTAGTGTCATGAAAAGCACAATATAAATTATCACAATATAAATTCTCTAATAACCAAAACACAACAGTAACTGTGAAAACTGAAGTTGAGTTCTGCCATTATGCAGAATTGTAAAAGCAATTCCTTTAACTCTAGTGTGCAGCAGGCCATTCAACCCTTCCTGTCTGCACTAGCTCCCTGCTACAGATTAATCCCACACCCCTGTTCATTCCCCACAGCCTGGAAAAAGTTTCCTTTTCATGCTTTTAACCAATTCCTTTATTTATTTTACCTTTCTTTTCACTGATATCATTAATAATATTCTAAATCTACAATTTCAATGCATAGAAACGTAGAGAATAGGAGCAGAAGTAGGCCATTTGGCCATTCAAGCCTCCTCCACCATTCATTATGGTCATGGCTGATCATCCAACTCAATAGCTTATTCCCGTTTCCCCCCATCCTTTGATCCCTTTAGCCCTAAGTGCTATAGCCACCTCCTTAAAACCATGCACCATTTTAGCCTTCACTGCTTTCTGTGGTAGAGAATTCCACAGGCTCACTGTTCTCTAGATGAGCAAAATTTTTCTTCATCTCAGTCCCAGGTCAAACTTTAGTACAGGAATATCAGGAAAGAACCTCATTCCTTAGCTTTTAAATCATTGAGTTCCTGACCTCTGTACCCTTCAAACATTTTCAACAAGTGATGGTCTTGTTCATCAGTCACACTGCTGTTGGATGATTTTCCTCTCACGCTCTTCACAGGTCTTTTCTGGGTTTGCTGTTGGGAAGTTTCAGGAAGAGGAAGAGTGGAAGAGAGAGACAGGAGTCTCTGGGCTGTACGGTGTAGTGACCTCCCATTGGTTATTCTAAGTGAAAGCATTGTAGCTGAAAGTGAAAGATGTTGAAGCTTGCAGACTGCCATATCCAAGCAGCACAGAGGTGGGGAAATGATACCTTTATGAAAGACAATGGGACCTGCCTTAATAAAACACCTTTGTTTTATATTTGCTCATGGAATATGGAGTTAGGTCTATGAATGACAGAATAGGCTCAAAGGGCTGAATGGCCTACGCCTGCTCCTTTGGCATGAGGGTGTTGCTGGCCTCACCAACATTTATCGTCCACCCTTGATTAACCAGAGGGCAATTAAGTATCAACCACATGGCTGTGGGTCTGGAGTTACATGTAGGCCAGACCGGGTAAGGATGGCAGTTTTCCTTCCCTAAAGGGCATCAGTGAACCAGATGGGGTTTTTTTATGTCAATCAACAATATTTACATGTCATGATTAGCCCAGCTTTTTTTTTAATTGAATTAAAATCTGCCATGGTGGCATTCAAATCCTTCTACCCAGAATATTAGCATGGTTCTACAATACTAGACAAATTGCATTGCCACTATCTCCTTTCACCCTTGCAGGGCATCACAAAGAGTGAACTATTACAATCAACAAAATATTTTGAAATATGTTGATTGACTCCTTTGAAGTGGCCTGCAAGTTTTTTTTAAAATAATCAACCTATTTGGACATGCTTTAACACGACTGAATCACAAGCTCCAGAGAGACTCAAAACTGGATCTTCTGGCCCAGAGGCATGCACTCTGTCACTGCACCACTAGACCCCCTTTCCTTGCAAGTTATTTGTATAAAACTGTACCCTAGCATCCATATTGCAACTGTTCAATCAGACAGTCCACCACCAAGCCCAGGAATGGTCACTATGAATGGCAACAAATTCTTGCCCTGCCAATGATGCACAGATCCCAAGAATGAAAGAGGTTTTTGCATTTGCAAAAAATATTCAAACCACTTGTCTTTAGATCAACTCACCTCATTTCTGTTCTTGACATGAAAGCAAATCACTGTAGATGCTGGGATAATCCAATGGTGCCCTTATTTAAGGGGATAGCATATTGAAGCAGTATCCTTCATTTAAACAGGACTTGGTGACTTGGTCTGCTACAGAGTTTAACCTTTACATCCAGTGTTCAGGTGGTTACAGTGGCAGCTAAAAGATTCTACACAATTATTTTAAGAATCCCTTCAGTAAGTGAACTAGAAATGCTTGGGGAATTATGCTTGCTTTAAATGACCTTTACACAACTGTTCTTAAAATCATTTTTAAAAATCAAACTATTCATTCAGTTATTCCAATATTTTTGTCATCGTCTAGGTTTATTACAGATATCTTCCATCAATAACTTTAAAGGACAATGTGTAAATGAGTTTGAATTCAGCAGGTCTACTTGCCCACATTTTCTTCCCCCTTTCCAATTTCCGTCAATTTCCACTCTCTTCTCTCCTGATTTGTTCTGAGGAATAGTTCCAACTTCAATGTGCTCTGGTACTCAGCTAAATGGTGATCCAGCATATGGAAGCCTCAACTGTGAATGGTCAGGAGATTATTCAACAACATTGGGCATCACTGTCAGGTGATGTATGATTATGCTTTCATCTATGTTCATTCATGTCCCCATTCAGCAGAGGTTGACAGCAAGAACCTTGGCTCCCATCCTTTTGCTGTCACCTAAGGGTAATTGCGGAAACCCACCACCCAACACAACTCACGCTGACTGAAATCCCTATGGCAGAAAAACATTTGCATTTATATAGTGCCTTCAACAATCTCAGGACATTTCAACAGCACTAATACCAACCATTGAGTGTACACAATATAGCTGGTAAGATCACATAAACTTACCAGAACACAGGGCAGCTCTCCCATTAGAGAAAGCCAACTGGTAGTGGTATACCCTGAGGGTCACCACACTTCAGATGAGGAGAGAGATTGAGAAGGAGCATCCTTCATGGTAACCTCAGCAGGCATGGGAATTGAACCAATGCTTTTGGCATTACTCTGCATTGCAGCCCAGCTTTCCACCCAACTAGACTAACCAACATGGAATACTTTCAGGATTCGTAAAGTGTCTGGAATCCATCAGGACCTTTAGAAGCTCAGAGACAAGCGTTGCTTTACCACCCAGACACAGCTTTCAATCCGACAGGAATCTCAGATCTGAATTGTTTCTGGTGTTGACTGCCCGAGGAGCATGTACTTTGTAGTGGAAATCGGGCTGCGTGCAAAAAATGAAGATGCAAATTTGCCTGAAAGCAAATTATAATTTGTAATTTGTTGTGAGGAAGGGTCATTCCACCCGAAACGTTAACTGTGATTTCTCTCTACAGATGAATTGAATTGAATCATTTAGTGTCACGTGTATTCAATATAAAAATACAGTCAAAATACCTTTGCCCTGCAATACATTAACTTAGAATAAAAAAAACTTGAGAATTCAACTTTCCACTGCCAGAGGCCGCTCCTGCTGAGCATTTCCAGCAATTTCTGATTTACAGCATCCACAGTTCTTTCGGTTTTTATAATTTGTAAGACACGCTGAACTGAAATCAGAGGGGGAAAATACTTTCATAAATACAGCTAACAATGGTGCAAACTAATTGGGCTTATGACATACATTTCAGCTAGACCAGGTAGGTGTTGGAAGATTTTGACTGAGAGGTGGAGAAATAACATATTTAACTAATGGTAGGGATTGCAAATACTTTTTTTTTAAAAAAAAGGAAAAAGATCTCGGGAAACATCTTTCTACTTTCGACTTCGACTTGGTGACCCGGGAACCAAAATTAAAAAGGGGCGGACATTGCAGCTTTTTCTTCCGGCTGCAGTTTAATTCTTTTAGATCTTACTGGCCGATCCCAGGACCACCACATAAAGAAAAATCCTTGAAGAACAAAGCGGGTGAAGCGAGTTTGCACGGCGCCTGTACAATGTATGAGCTTGTAACGCGGTCTGTGGGTCTGCGGACTCTGTCATTGCAGGTGAGTGCATGGGGAATGTTAGTGACTGCAACTTCTCTGTAGGTGCATTATTTACCTGGTCAGTACCTAAACGTTGTTAACCCCATCCTGTTTTTTTTTTTTTTTTTGCCCACCCTCTTCCACCTTTGAAAATTATTCTAAATTCATGTCCCTTTGCTTATTTATGATAAGACTTAGCACCAGCAGTTTATAAAGTTCTGACACCAATCAGTGCCAGCTACTGAAGCAGCACTGGACTGAATTTCAGATAAAAAAAACCCTTTAAACGGAGGCCCTCTCAGCTGGTTGTAAAAGATCCCTTCACCCTCTTTGTAACAGAACAAGACTTATCACTGGTGTTATTGTTGCTGTTTACAGGAGCTTATTCTGTGCAAGTAGGCTGCTACTTTCCTACATGAACAGGGACTAAACGCTCAATCTCATCCACCTCTTTCATCTCTGACTCTGTATACCCTCTCTACCCACTCCCCTACCGCTAAACCTCTGCCTCCTGCTCTGCTGTTTTCTTCTCTCCTTCTCCACATCTCCTCATCTTCACATTCTTTTCCTCTAAACTCCTTCCTCCCACCCTGTCTCGTTTCCACTCTTGCCTGTCGCCCCCATTTCTGCCTGTCCCTCAGTTAAACTTCTTAGTCCTTGACTTCAAATTCCTATCTCTGTAAAGTCCTCAAAAACGCTGTGAGATCCCATAGCTGCTCCAGTTCTGGGTTCTTATGTATCCTTCATAATAATTACCACTCTATCACTGGGAGCTGTACCTTCAGTGACAAGGCTCTCAGCTCTGGAATAACACAGTGTGGAGCTGGAGGAACACAGGCAGCATCAGAGGAGCAGGTCTTCAGAAATGGGGAGGGGGAAGGGAGCTCAGAAATAAATAGAGAGGAGGGGTGGGGTTGGGGAAAGGTAGGTGTGATGGTGATCTCCTCCTCTAAGCTCTGGAATTCCCTCTCACTTTGAGGCACTCCTTAAAACCCACCTCCACAGTTGCCCTAATTTCTCCTCCTGTGGATAGATGCTAATTCACCCTCCTCTGAAACAAAACATAACAGTTGCAGTGTAAATGCAATGTGTTGCAAAGTTTTGTTCACCTCCATTTAGAGTCCAATGTAGATTGGATATACACAATGTTTAGACACTGACAGTTTTAATGTCATCCTTTCTGAATGATTTAATAAAATTAATAAGTCAATGTCCAATTATTATATTTCTATAATACATTTCTTCCCATTTTTTTGAGATTTTTACATCGCAAGCCTTTTCTGCTTAGAAGTCTGGTCTGAAAATATCTCACTGAATGGCAGAACGGACTCAATGGGTTGAATGGCCTACTTTGAGTCCTACGTGTTATGGTCTTATTGGCAACAGTGTTCCCTTTAATTTCAGTTTGCTCTACATGCCTGAATCTAAAGCGATCCTTGGCTACGAGCAGCATGTTAGTGCCTCCGTGTTATATGCTAAACTGCTGTACAGCAATACCCATTCAACATAGAGACTATATTGGTTGCCAACGCTCCACAATTGTCCTGGAGCTTCCAGGAATTAAAGATTAATCTCCAGCGCATTGTTGATGAGAAATGCCTGGAGAAAAATGATGGGGGCATGTAAAATATTGAATGTTTCTTTTCATTTTCTCTGAACATTTGTGTTCTTTATTTATTGACTGTCCTAAAGATGTGATAGTAGAAGAAGGCCATTCAGCCTGCACTGGCTCTCCAAATGAGTTACCTGTCATTATCTATTACCTGTTCGTTACCTATTCTCCTGCCCTGCACATTGGATGATTATTTGAATAGAAGCAAAGCAGCCTTGAATGCCTCAATTGACTCTACTGTCACCACACTTCCAGGCAGTGAATTGCAAACTTGAACCAATTATGTCCTCCTTTTCTACTCTCACAAATCACTTCATATCTGTGGTTTCCTCATACCCAATCCTTTGACGAGCAAGGACAGTTTCTCCTTAACTGCTCTATCCAGACCTCTCGTCTGAGAACGTCTAACAGATCTCCTCTTAGCCTTCATCTCTCCAAGGAGAGCAATCCCAAACTCTTCAATCTGTCCTCATGACTGATGTTTCTCAAATACTACCATTGCAGCACAACAGCCCTGATACTAATTGAATTTACATCCCACTAGCTGCTGTAGTGGGATTTGAACTCGAATTGCTCCAAAGTACAAACCTGGGGCTCTACATTACTAGTCCAGTGATATTACCATTTTGCCACCATCTCCTTTCTACTTGTGATGCAGTGGTAATTTTCCTCCGTCTGAACCAGGAGCCCAAGGTTCAAGTCCCACCTGCTCCAGACCTGTGTAATATCTTTTCTGAAGAGGTTGGTCAGAAAAAATCTACAAAGGTTCCAGGTATTTCCCTAAGCAACCTGTTTAGATATGTTATTACACATCTCTAGGGAAGATGGGACTTTAAACCCAAGCCTCCTGATCCAGAGGTAGGGATACTACCACTGTGCCACAAGAGTCCTTTACAACTGTTCTAGGTAATTGATTAAATAGCGCCCAACCTCTGTGGTGTGAGAATGTATGTAAGTTATTGAGGAATCCTTTGAATTTGCTTGAGTGTGACAAGAATTGTCATTATGCACTCAGAATAGATCTAATGGATAAGGGTGGTTTGACTATTTGCCTGTCTTACAAGAATTTCTGTGTGTACATGTTATCTTTGAGTGGAATCACCTCACCCACCATTCAGTCTCTTATAATTATGCAGCATACATGCGTTAGCTTGTTTGTTTCAGCCAATTATTTTAGTTAATGCCACTTTGTAGAAAAGCACACTTGCTATGTACTTGTGGTTGTTACTGGGCACTGAAGGAACTTGATGCTATTCTTAATTCCAGTGAAATACGGCTTAGGGTCACTGCTCCATCCTGTTGCTTGTCTGCCTGGCCCAACCAGCCTCTATTTATCTATTACTATGATCGTTGGACTATTCTGAGGGGACGTGATCCAAATATTAGTTTTTAAATAGTTTGTGAACCCATATCTTGAACTGTTGAACAGAGGATACTTTGCTCAGGAAAAGGTAGAGGATGCAAAAGCAACAGCCTGCAACCTGAAGGAGCAGGGAGCTCAGAAGGAGTCATACAGCCTAAAAAACGTTCAGGGAGAAGTCACAATGGTCCAGTTGTGGGTGGAATAAGACTGTTCAATTTTTAACTCAGAGAGAATTTAACCTGCCTGAAAAGCAGCAGCCTATTGCTCTCTCCTTCTTTGCAACTGTGTCGGTTTGCAACCCACTGAAAGTCATCTTTATCACCTGTGGAGAATTCTGTCATCTGGAGTCAAGGGAACTCAGCTAGCTACAACTGTTTCAGGAATATACCCCAGTATCTATGTGCAGAATAACCTTGGAATCAGAACACAATTTGGGACAATCCATAGTTTACCTTTTTTTTCATGAGTTTAACTATTACTTGGCCAAATACTTTGAAGTTGACACTTTGCAGAGTTTTCAATATTGTTGTTTCTCCTCAGCGCAGTGTGGGTGTGTTAAGTTTGATCATTGTGTGTGTATTTGCGCAGTCTAAATGGTTAGTCATAATCTTTGCATCTTTGTTTTGGTAAGTTTGTGTTTGTTTGTGAACCAATAAGTTATCGTTCACTAAAGAAAACAGGCTGACACAGGTGGGACTAGTTTAATTTGGGATTGTGTTTGGCATGGACTGGTAGGGTCTGTTTTCAGTGCTGTATGACTCTATAACACCAAACCTTGCACAGGCTGACACCTATATAATTGGTAGATCACCAACCTAATAACAATTAAAATTTTTTGTGACCAATAGAGAACTAGAACTAGAAACGGAAGCAGTGACCCCTTCAACCTCCATCATAATAGGACCATAAGTAATTTTGTTTTTCAGGACAGTCTGTACAAATGCCTGTAACCTTTAGTCCCTTTTTTTATCTGATAAACATTCAAGTATAGAGGGTGAGATCGTAAAGAGGTTTGTTGACATACCAGTACTTATTTCAGAATTCCATTTTCTTACCACCTAGCAGAAGTGACATTTACTGATGCCATAAATCATAACATTGGGCTGTATAATGGATGGATGATGGTTACTCAGTGACCCATACACATTGGGATGTTCCAATGGACTGACAGCAACAGGGATGAAGGTTCTTCCTTATTCAACCCTGTCATGTGCTGAAAGTCTAACATTTGCCTATGTTTATAAAGACCAGTTCTTGTAAGCCAAACAGCAGTTGTTGTATTTAGTTTCTTCAGCTTCAGGGACTGAAGTCTTGGAATACACTTTACATAGAATTTACAGCAAAGAGTCAGACCATTTGACCCAACCAGTCCATGGCATGGGGATATTCATCTTGCCTTCCAGTGTGTACAAGTTATTCGCTCAATCAGACGTTTGTCCTGATTCCTGTTTAGATATATTAGTGACCAATATTCCCTACATTTGTTTTTAGTAAACAAACCTCTGAGATTGTGTGGGGACAGCAACTTCCAAAGTTGGAAGTCAATGCGTCGGTGCACTGTTCACACTGATTGGGTATGCACAGATCCTCACAGCAGCAGCACAACTTAGAAGGAAAGTTGTAGAGTGATGGACTTATACTGATGGTCCCAGTCTTGTCTTTTCCCTCAAGTGGAAACATCCTCTTTATGTCTATCCTGTCAAACACCATAGAGTTATAGATTCATACAGCACGGAAACAATTCATCCATGCTGACCAGGTATCCTAAACTAGTGCCATTAGCCTGTGCTTGGTCCATATCCTTCTAAACCTTTCCTATTCATGGACCTGTCCAAATCTCTTTTATATGTTGTAATTGTACCTCCCTCTACCACTTTCTCTTGCAGGTCATTCTATACATTCACCATCCTCTGTGTGAAAAAGTTGCCCCTTATGTCCCTTTTACATCTTTCCCCTCTCACCTTAGACCTATGCCATCTAGTTTTGGACTCCCCTACCCTTGGAAGAAGACCATGGCTATTCACCTTTTCTATGCCTCTCATGATT